CACTCAACATCTCGGTCTGGCTGAGATGTATGCCACACACCCATGAGCCAGCCAATCAATATTTATTGAATGTCAGCAAGAAAAAAATGTGATATTCGATCCTGACGCCTCGCAGCAAGTCGGTTATATCTGTTCTGCAATATATATTATTGATGCTCATTCAATGTGTCTTATTTTCTACCTTTTTGCAATTCTGGTTATTGTTACTGTTGTGACTGCTGCTGCTGCTGCTGTTACTGTTATTATTTCACTTGGCCATCTGTATTTCTCTGATTGCAAGCTAGGAGGAAATGATACTCCTATTGCAAATTTCTCTACTGTGTTTCAAATACATCCCCGGAGCACAGATAATGCATGTAATTATTAAATGGCTCACAGTAGAATAAACACACTTGCTCTGCTTCAAAAGGAATCATCCTACAGAATAAAATTAAGCACAGAGCAAGGAATTCTAATATACACATCCCCTAAAATCAGCCCTACATTTGTATGAAGTTTGCCTTCATAAAGAGTCCTTAGACTTTTGAGTGTGATCTTAAAGAAATGCACAGTTGAGGGAAAACAAGTTTTGCAATAAGCACAGAGGGGAGATACGGTGGTTTAAAGCCTGAGGACAGCCCAGGAGACACATGCTGCTATTAAACTCAGTTTCCATCCAAGGGAAATGTTTTCCTTGCTCCTTCGTGAGAGTGCCCCGGGTGGTGCATTTGATTTTCTACTCCCCACAGCCGTGCGAAGCCCGTGATGGAGAGCCGCTGCCTTTGCTGTGCAGCAGCCCCTTCTGAGTTCTCACACCATGTGGCAGGCAGGGTGGCTGGCCCAGCAGCAGCTGCTCAGCCTCTGCCAGCCCTTCATCGGAGTTTTGATGATGAAACAAGCTTATCCAAGAGCCCCAAGACTTCTGAGCAAAGATGAGGTGTTGGATTTGGTGCCCATGTCCGGAAGAGAATAAGGGAAGAAAGTGCATCATGCCTCTAGCTGCACAGCTGGTCAGAGGCTCATGCTGTGTAGGCAGTAAACCATGCTGCAGCCAAAGGCAAGTGCGTGCTCAAGGCTTCTGGAGCCTCTGGGTAGCAGCATTCCTTGAGTGCCAGGGGAGAATGGCCCTCATCTATGCCCCACGCCCAGTTTCTGACCCAACCGCAAGATCTCTCTTCTTTCCCCCCAGCAACCTGTCCAAACCCCTCATGCTCACCTCTTCCGTGCAGCCTTCTTGGATTGCTACCCTCCTGCATAAGCCTCTAACTTCCAGCTCAGTTATCCACGCTACCTCTTAAGCATGTCTGTATCTCCTGCCTTCCCTTCTTTGCGTAAATTGTACCTTCACCCCAGAATACATTCATCCTCCCTCCCTCCCAACTCTGTATTTGCCTTCTTTCAAATCCTGGACCAAAAGCCACCTCTTCAAGGAAGCTGTGCCGAGGATAATTTTGCATTTCTCCATGTTCCAAAGCATCTTTACTAGGAGGCTTGTGGCCCCCTCACTGGTGTCAAATCCTGTCTCTGACACTTAGGAGCTGTGTGACCTTGAGCACGTTACTTAACCTTTCTGTGCCTTAGGTTCCAAAATGGGATAATAATGTTTATACCTATTTCAGAGAGTTATGATGAGAATTAATACGTGCAAAGCATTTAGAACAGTGCCTTAAACATAGCAACTGCTTAATAGGTGTTAGCGTTCCTTGTTGTGTTATTTTGGTCCTGGCTCCGTTCAGCACTTAGGTGATTTGAGGTCGCCTCCTCATGGGATATTACAAACTCCTCAGAAGCTTACCTATCAAAACTAACAGTTTTGTTAAGTCCCATTTCTTTATCACCTCTTTTTATGCCCTGTGCTTTTACAAGTTACTTCTTGTTCTAGAAAATATCATACATAAACAAAAGTAGACTGAAATCTCATGTAACCATCA